AAGGAATTGGAAAAAAAATTTCCGAAAAAGTGGTAGAAGTTCGGGGTGAGGAGATGGCAGGTACGATGGGGAAAAGTTGTCGCGTAGAGAAGAAAATCATTAGAGGGGGACTGTGTTTTGCTAGTTTAGCAAAAATTATCCTGAACGAGACGTGCTCTAGCGATCGCATCCATTTCCTAACCATTCAGATAGCCCAGAAGGCATCGCATTAGGGGTGGAAGCTCGCCCCTAATGCGATGTAATTATTACACATTACAAACATCAGCGTGCACATCCACAAGTGCATGCGCTCAATAGGATGAACGTTTTTTCACACCACGTGTTAAGCTATTTTCAGAGCAAAAAAGGATGGATTTTTCCCTGTGCATAGGGAGAGCAAAATGGTGCCGAAAGGCTCATAAATGCTGTAAAATCCAGAGAATTCACACAAATGAAGGAGAAAAAAAGTGATAAATTCTTCGGTTTCGTGGAGTAATGAGGAAAGCGCTGGCGTGATGAAGCAAAACGGGTAATTGAAGACGGGGGAGGAGGGGTAGCGTTCAATGAAGGAGGACGAGACAGCACACGCTATTGAGGTGCTTGTGTGCTCTTCGATCGCAACATTTGGCCGCAACGGACTGAATACATTTCGCCCAGGTAAACTAGAAATCGTTGAGGGATGATCGGGTGAAATTGCGGACAGCGGCGGCTTGCGTGAATGCATTACCTCTAAATATCATAACTGGTTACGATAGTACGCGCTGGGCGACAATTCGCCCATCTATCGGCCGCAAATTCCACCGGTTGAAAAAAAATGGGTGCTTCCGTTTTTTTTCTGAACACAGCTCAGTTGAGCCCAGGAAAACGGCTAATTCCTCTGCCGTTAATTCTCATCTTTTCGTCGAAACTGAGACCTTCCGGGAGGAGAAAAAACTCAGAGACTCGTAAAAAGTGCACCAATCCAGATGATATTTGCTTGAAAACTAGCGGAATTGCCTGCAGCAGGCTGGAATGGGTCAAGAAAGAATGAGTTGCTCCTCATTCATAACATCTTGAACAGGAGCCACAGAAGTAAAAGAGAGCACGAGCGAGAGGCTAGAGGCATTGGATGAGAGAGGAAATAGGGATAAAAAAGGAGAAAAAAGATTCGGCAGGGGCAGGGCACGGAAAATACAAGACCATCTGGTATACATACTACTACAGTTGCAGCAAAAACCGGTCACAAGAAGATTCATATATACTTCACTTCGGAAGCTCCTCCCATTTCCAGGCCCCTTCTTCCAAGCCCGGCGAAGTGAAACATGAAATTATTTCCATTGCGCAACAAAGGTATAGAAGATTAGAGCGAAGAAGTAAAAGCTCACTTGTTATAACCGAAAGTAGTTGAAAACACCCCCGAAATGTGGTTTTCAGCAAAGAGACTCTCTCATCTTACAAACTCCGCCCACCTCTTTTACTTCTTTGAGTAGTTGCGAAGTGAACAGGAAATTAATTCTACTATATGGAAACTTGCGCGTTAGTCACATACAGTCACCATTCCTGCAAACATGTAATGCGGCGCGGATTGCAGCGCAGCCAGGGCTCCCTTTTTCCACCAGTGATGTCATCCTGAGCCCGATACAACTAATGGGAAGTCCTGATCGGCTTGGGCCATACCCCCTTACACGCCTTATCGTTAAGAGGGATCATTAATGTACAGTCAATATCGTAGCCATTTGTCGGGACGATTTAACGAGAGATGGGATGAGCTCCTCGGCATTTTTACAGACTGATTAATTTCTTTCCTGAAACGTTCATGGCGAAAAGGCCGGACGAGGGTGGCTCATTCCACGCCTTCACACGCGCTCGCGCGATTGACAGGCGATGGCAATCAAATCATATCATTTCGGAAAGAGGGAGAGAGGAGAGGAGCAGAGAGAGAGAGAGAGAGAGAGAGAGAGAGGAGCAGAGAAGAGAAAACGATTGCCATTATGTAAAAAATGGTGCTGTTCGGCTCAGGGGGGCATTTTGCACATCCGCTAGATCCTTTTCTTACATCGTGTTGACGTATAGATCTGTTGGTCAGACCTAAAAACTTCTTGTGAAGCTGGGCAGTACTGGTACAAGTGAGCAACATTGATTACAAGAATTCAGCGTTTCTAACATCGCAGCTAGTGGGAGGGGCGTGAAGAGGGCGGGATGATCCCACCCTTGCTGCCCTGCTCTACCAATGGTGATCGCTTTGGTGTTGATTTAGGAAGAAAATAAACAGTGGTGGGAACGCTGCAGACTGGTTCGGTCGCATACCCCCTTGAACACGCGACGATTACGATTATACCAATGGTACTGGTACACGTCTGCACAAAGCGGCCTGTTCAACACCACCTGTACCCACCAAGCCGAACTGCGTCAAAAATGCTCATAGAGGTCAACGCAGCTCGTCCACTTGCTCTCCTCCCTCGCCTACAATTCCCCACGTTACGAATTCTCTTTGCCAGTTCGTCTTCGATTCACTTCATGCGTCGCCATTCTTATATTTTTTTGTTTTTCTCTTATGCCATATAGGGCTTTATAGGTTGCTATGGGACTCGATCTGTTGGAGCGTTTTTTCAATATCTGCCTTTTAGCCTCTCTTCAACCAATGAAACTCCAAATCAGTTACTTCCTGCGCACTTGGCCTAGAAGAAATTAGTTGAAGACCTAGTGATGTACCATGCTACACTGTAGACGCTTTCCTTCAGAAATCTGCTCCAGAATGAATCGAAAACCTGCTTAGGGGAATGTCATTAGTGGCAATTCAATCAGCCGGAAAAAAAGCGCAAAAACAGGCACGATTTTGGAATATAAGGAGCAAGTTCCAAGAGAGCTTATTAGCCTATCACCCCTGCAAACCCTGCGACATTGCGCTAGACATCCCTTAACTAGAAACTTATCTATTTCTCTGGCATTTCAGTTTTTACTAGCTACTATTAATGAGGGGTACAGCATTAGTGGTAGAGAGTGAGAGAGTGACATGATACGAGTACTAGTATAATAGCGGCGTCGTTTACTAGCCACACGTCTCAGAGTGTGTGCAATGATGATGGGAGGGGTGTATGTGTTTGTCTCGTCGTCGTTTGTGGCGACGACGACCACCAACGCATTCCTTTCATTACGACGTCCTCACATGACTGCTGTTTTCAATGTTGTTTTGTGGTATGCACCCAGGCAGTACGTGCGCTCACCTTCTCATGTCTATTCAATTGATCTTGCTGATATTCGGGGACACTGGGACCACGTTAGGGGGTCTACTCATTCGTTGGGTTTAAACAGCACCCTCGGAGACAACTCCAGATGGCTCCACTGCAGCGTAGAGACTCTTATTTGCGAGTGGAATTTGTGTTCTTTTGGTTCATCAGGACCGCCCATGTTAATTAACCATCTACTGGCGGAAGGGGTGTACGGCACCGTCGAGGACGCCCTGAATAAGGCCCCTGGATTGGACTAGTTTTCTCAAGAAGAGATTCGGTGCTGTGCAGACGAGAGACCATAGACAGGGTGTGGTAGAATGGGAAGAAACTTCTATTCTAGAAGGAACGAAACGGCGAAAGAATACAGGTCGGTCCTACATCGAATGAACGTAACGCCTCACCCCTGCTCTGATTGATATAGGACCCGCTGTAACTTCGCGCCCAGATGGAAAGTATCCGGTTCCCACGGCAAGGTGGACACCCTCTGAGACGCGAATCGAACAAATTGAAGAATGAGATCCCCCATCATATAATGGCGAAATGCGTCTTCAACGCCAAGATGTGATCTACCAGTGGTACTACGCCGGTAGTGCCACGTTAAGATGCCCAGTGGTTCACTTTGGTTGGAAGAGCGCTCCAAAGGACAGCCTAAGAAGGTTTAGCTACTGTTCATAGACACACTGACTGTTCAGTGAAGAAGTTAGTGAGTGGAACGTCGATGACGCCCCGCAGCCCCATATAAGACCCCTGTATTGGACGCTTATTGGAACATGCAAGACACTGCTGATTTGGCGTGAGGCCAAAGACAGGAAGAGGAAGAAGAGGGGAGCAAGAGCGACAGAGCAAGAAAGAACAGGAACGACAGAACAGGTCCCGCACAGAATGAACCCAACACTTCAACTGCGCACACAAATATAACACCGCTGACATAGCTCGTCCCCAGATGGGTGAAACACCTTATAGGGGTGATGTGCCCTATTCTGTTGAGCGTGATTGGTCTGTCCCTTTAACAGTGAAGTGGTGGAACAGTAGTTCTGTAGGAGGAAGGACATATGAACTTTATGAAATAAACAGCACCGGTATGGGATTGCCGCCTGTCTGCTGTCGCATACCGGGCGTACCAATAACAAAATTCCATATCACTACGATACGCCCAAGTTGAGCGTTGACAAGTCGATCAAAACGGACAGATACACTGGTTGTTGTGGTAAAATGATATTTGGGCATCAAAAACGGGGACTTGCATCTCAATTCGAGTTGAAGTAGCCCCTAGTGGTTTAGGTTTCATCCCTGCGGGTCCCAATCGTATACAAGCGAGTCAATCAAGTCGCGAAAGAAGAATGTTACAGAATCGTTTGGTGAATCCTTGTGGAGGAGGCGGAAGATCGCACCTCGTTTTGAGGAAACTTTTTTCCGAGCCGTGACAAAGTTTTTCAGTTGTTGTTTGTAATGTCATATGTAATAGTATAGTACTCGGGTTCGAGGCCTACTTGCGAAAGTCCACGCCGCGCCTGTCTGAGCGGTCGTAAAAACGGGGCTGCACCGGCGGGTACGCCATGCAGCTGCCATATCCCCGGGTATAACAGGGGCGATGGCTGCAGCACCCTCGACGGCCACGCCCACTTACTATAAATAGGCCTATTGACAGTCTAGGCCAGCTCGTCTTCTTTGTAATTAATAATTTTTGTCTTTCTACTTTGTATCTCATTGTAATAAATCTCTCTTCTATTCTCTTCTGTACATTTCTCAAGTTGATTCATCAGTCGGATTCGACTGTTAATCGGGGGAAAAACCCACTAGACACTTAACCACATGAGAGCCAAGCCTGGCAACATCGAATCGACTGATCGTGGTTCAATTTCAGAGATGTCTGAGATTAGCGGAGCAGCTAACCAGTCTGTGGAAATCACGGAAAGCAACATGGATGTGACGTTTGTGGAAAACCACTCCGGAACACAGATTGAGGTAAGCACAACTGATCCTCATTTATCCAATGCTTTGGATAACATTATTACCCGGTTGCGGGACACTCTGGATGAGCAGATACGCAACTTATCTGCGCAGAAAAAGCAGAATATACTCGAAACTGTCCAAGGGACAGTGGAGACCGCTAGGGAAAAGGCTCGGCTAGCTATTGGCCGAGCAGCTCATACTATTTTCGAGGAAATCTCGATAACTCCAGAAGAATTGCGCAAAATTCTGCCAATTGTGAGTTACAATAGTAGTATGATGCAGAGCCTAGCGGAGGAATTCGGCTGCGAAATTCCAGAGGTCTCGTCAACTGTAAGAGCTCAATGTTCAGAGTTGGATAGGCTCCGATCACTAACAAGTGATCAAGAAAAGAGCATCCAGTGCCTGATAGATAAAAATTGTCAGTTGCAGAGCCAAGTAGACGAACTCACGGCGAGGCTGGCAACGTCCTTGAATCAAGTACGCCCAGATATGCAAGCCCAAGGTGAGAAAAACAATTGTGTAGATTGGTCGGCTGTTAGTCAACAGCTTCTATCACTGAAACGTGGGAATAAGACCGATTTCCAGAGCCGACAGCCCGTGTGCCAAGGAACGAACGTTGGGACAGCGAGGCGCCAGAGGTCAATCTCCAGCGGACGATCGAGTCCATCCTGTCGGCAGTCTTCCAACGCATCGACAGTCGGTGAGTCGAGTTCTGTCTTTCAAAACTCGCACAACTCTGAGGCTAGTCATATCTCCCATGCCATGAACGGGATGTTCAGTGTATTTAAAGAGGTTTTCAAGGCCCAAAGCATAGCAGAAGTCCCCAAATATGATGGGAAGGGTTCCCTCAGTGACTTTTTGCGAGCACTGGAAATGAAGTATCCCATGACAGTTTGGTCGGACAGAGATAGGCGTGATGTGTTGGTAAACCATCTGATTGGATCGGCGCGATCAGTGTATAAAGGGCTTCCAGAAAGCGTTAAAAAGGGTGATTTTGCCGGAATAGCTGGCGAGGGCGGGCGCTTAGATTTAGCGCGTAACCCTTGCGAGAAGCTCAAAGTGATTGATGAATGGGATAGGCTTAGGATGAGAAGCCATGAATCGGTAGGGGATTTCTGCTGTCGCATGGAGGATATCTCCGCAGATTCGATCCGAAGAATGGTTGAAAGGTTACTGATGGGATTTCCATTTAGCCTCAAAATTATACTCATGCCTACAACATTGGAAGGATTCTTACCACATGTTAGCGGCTTTAGAGGCCCAAGATGGGGAGGCATATGATGCTGTTAAAAGGGTTGCACTGAGACTTGAAAAGACTCAAATAGCGCGACCCCCAAAGGATGAACAGAAGTTCAAACCCTTCAAAAAGAGAATGTTCGCTGAGAAAGCGGCAACCTCCGGCAATGAAGATCGGGTTTTGCAGAAATGCTTTAACTGTGGCGGAACTGGTCACTTTAGCACCTCTTGCCCTAATAAATCGACACCAAAGGGTCACCCTCCAGGCGGAAAAGGCCCGGGTCTAAATAAGAACTCTAAGGAGGAACGTGCCCCCAGGAAATCATTATCCACTTTCGTAGAGGATTGGTGTGGGATGGTTCGCAGCCAAAAATTGGCGGTAGGATCGGGCACCGTAGTGGTTGGGAAACCCCGGGGCCGCAACGCTATACGACGCAAAAATCTTCGGAATCGAAGTAAGAGCATTGATAGATACTGGTTCAGTGATCTCCATATTACCAGCTGGTCTCCTCAAACAAGCTAAAAGCAGGGGCTTTGACATAGACAGCGAAGTAGAGCTGGTAAGCAACGGTTGCGAACATAAGGTGTTCGACGCGTCAGGCAACCAAATGGAGTTCCTTGCAATAGTGAACGCGGAAATAAGCGTAGAGGGGGCTGATAAAGTTCGAGTAGCCATGCATGTCCAGAAAAGCAAGGATAGCACCCTGCTCTTAGGAACGAACGTTCTAAATGCTTTAGGGATCCAACTCAGATTTGAGTGCGACAGAGACCCGTCGCGCAGCGCGACTAGTATGCCGGAACATGCAAAGGCTTCTAGAAGGGTTGTCATACCCACCGCGGAGCAGTGGCAAACATTGAACTTGAGAGCTCTAGAGAGTCTGGTCAAAGGATTTTTTGGTCCAGGGACCCTCGGGTGACCTCAGGCGTGTGCTTGTTGAGAGAGGGGAATACGGCCATTTCGGTAGCGAATCGTAACTCTCAGACATGGGTAATCAATAAGGGTGAGCCCCTTGGAGAATGGTCGGATGATGGTTCCATTATCCCGCCTAAGTCATGTCAAGACGTGTCAGGTGGTATGCTTGACATGGAAAGACATGTAGCTCTTCCAGAATCAAAACGGATGAAAGTTTTAATCGATATAATGCAGCAGAATCATAGCACAGGAAAACTGTCAGATGAACTTGTTAGCGTCCTAGAAAAGTTTGGTGAAACTTTTGCAGTGACTGATGGTGAGCTTGAGCATACTAGTCTGATAGAACATGATATCGATGTGCAGGGACACCCTCCCATTCGTCAGAAAACGAGGCCTGTACCCTTCGGTATTCGAAAGCAAGTTGATGACATGCTCTCAGACCTGAAAGATCGGAAAATAATTGAGAATAGCCAGTCACCCTGGGCTTCTCCAATTGTTTTGGTTGCTAAAAAAGATGGTAGTACACGGTTGTGTGTTGATTACCGGGAAGTCAATAAAGCAACAAAAAAGGACTGTTATCCCTTGCCACCCATAGATGTGACATTGCAGAGTTTGCAGGGAAAAAGATGGTTTTCATCTTTAGATCTAGCTAGTGGCTATTGGCAGGTGCCGCTTTCAGAAAAAGCGAAGGAAATAAGTGCTTTCACTACAACCTCGGGGCTGTTTCAGTTCAATGTGTTGCCATTTGGTCTTACAAATGCGCCAGCGGCATTCCAAAGATTAATGGACCGGGTTCTTGGTGATCTTAAAGGACCAGAAGTCTCAGTTTATTTGGATGATATCCTTATCGCCACCGAAAGTGAAAAGCGCCATTTAGAAGTGTTGGAGCAAACACTTGAAGCGTTCCGGAAGGCAAATTTGAAGGTGAAACCTCAAAAATGCCGCCTGATGGAAAATAGCCTGGAATTTTTAGGCCACGTGGTGGATAAGGATGGTATAAGAACGAACCCTGACAAGGTTCGCAACATCCGGGAATACCCTATACCGGGAAATATCGCCCAACTAAGAACGTTCCTGGGAATGGCTGGGTACTATCGCAAGTTCATTTTGAGATACGCGGAAATCGCTAAGCCATTGTACGAGCTAACGAGCCCTAAAAATAAGTTCATCTGGTCAGAAGAACAGAGTAAGGCATTCGAAAAACTGAAAGACGCGCTATCAAATGCTCCAGTGCTAGGTCAGCCTAACATCGAAAAAGCGTTGGATCAGACCCGACCTTTATAATCTACACGGACGCGAGTAGAATAGGAGTTGGAGCGGTTTTGGCTCAAGAAGGAGATGATGGGTTTATTCATCCACTTTTCTTTGCTTCAAAATCGTTGTCCTCGGCGGAGCGCAACTACCACGTGACGGATCAGGAGGCTCTAGCGCTCATTTATAGCCTTAAGAAGTTTCATTACTTCATTTTTGGTATCCATACAATAGTGCGCACGGATCACGCCGCGCTGACATCGCTATTCAAAAGAGTCCACGTCACCCCTCGCGTTTTGCGCTGGGCGCTGGAAGTACAGCGGTATGATTTGAGCATTGAGCATGTAAAGGGTGCGGCGAATTGCGTGGCAGACGCACTATCACGGGGTCCAGTAGACCTTCGGGAAAACCCATCCGTTTGGATTCGCAGACGAGAAAGTGGTGTGTGCCGTGCTAGAGCACAGCTGGCTGAGCGAGTTGCGAGAAGACCCAGATTTCAGCTTGGTAATTCAAGCGGTAGAGAATAGAAGAGAAGAGGAGGTAAGACTCCCTAAATACGGACGGAAGTTGAGTTCCCTTGATTTTCGTGATTGAAAATGGCCAGTTGATGCTCATAAGCGAAGAAGGTTCGTTTCTTCCAATTGTCCCGCAAAGTCGGCGACATGAAGTGTTCAAAGAAGCGCATAATGGAGCTCTGGGAGGTCATTTCCATGCTCGCAAAATGTATGATCAGCTCAGCAAAACGGTATTTTGGCCAGGAATGTATCGTGATCTGGTAAGATGGTGCAGAGAATGTCAAATTTGCTTTTTGACCAATAATAAGAGGCAAAACATACCGCCCCTTAAGCCGGTAGTAACGGTAAAACCATTTGAAATTGTCGGAATCGACTTACTTGAAATGGGCTTGACTAGTCGCGGGAACCGGTACATAGTCACCATTGTAGACCATTTCACAAAGTATCTTGGAGCATACCCCATACCTGACAAGAAGGCTGAGACTGTAGCGGAAGCGCTATTCAGCAACTGATCTGGAGTTGGGTAGATGGCCAGCTGCTTTGCTTTCCGATCGCGGTAGCGAGTTCGAAAATTCTGTCATGGAAGCGCTGTGTTCAGTTATGGGAATTAAGCAAAAATTCACCAAGGGGTACTGCCCCAGGGAAAACGGTATAACGGAAAGAGCCAATGGTACAATTGTCAAAATGCTCAGGAAAAAGACGGTTGTGCCCGCTGAATGGGATAGGATCCTACCCACCATCGTTTATGCATACAATGCAGCGCCACATGAAGCGACTGGAGAAAGTCCTCACTTCCTGTTATATGGTCATGACCCTATGTACCCATCGGCTGTTATACCATCAAAAGATTTGTCACCATATATGGTGGACTACGACAATTATAAGACGGAATTCTTGTGTGGGTTAAAGATGGCTCGTGAG